AGATCTCTGGATATGGCCTCAACAAGTCGAAGAGCCCTCTGGATTGGATATTTGGTGGACCTTATCTTACGCAAGTGGTTGAAGATTGCCTGGACTGCAGATCGGATTTTCTCGAGCTCGGTGGCAGCCAGAAGGTCATTCAGAGGGAAGTCCTTCATGAGAGGAGCATAGTCATTCACTGTGGCCAAGGCCTGCTTCAGACCTGTGAAATAATAAAGGGTATTTTTTCAAAACAACTGTATACCTGTTAGCCTGTCAATTTTAAAATACTTCAACAATTGTCGACAAGTTACATTCCCACGTCCCTCCTCCTGCCCACCTGTGTCGGTGTCAAAAGAGACTGTGGCATGGAAGCGCTTCCCATGCTTCAGGACATCCAGAGTCAAAGCAACTTCAAGACTTTCCCTTTTGTCCTGAATCTTGAGGAGGGCACGCTCCAAGTTCAGCCAGAAGCTAATCTCCTGTAGGGCCGTGCCACTGGATGGATCTCTATCGAGCTTGGTCACCTGAAAGCAATAACATTCATATCAAATAAAATACTTTTGAATTCTATCCCCTATCATATTTCAATTGTGGTTCACTTCCTTCTTACACACAAAGTAGAAACACAAATGTCTTAACTTACTTTCTGAATTTCTCTGATCCACCTTGCAACACCATTCTGCAACTGATTGAGGAAGTTTGAGTCCTCAACCCTGTCCCCAAAGTCAGCTACTTTTGGGCGTGTCCCTTCATCAGCACACTTCTTGATCACCTGAAAAAACGAAAAAAAAATATATATATATATTTATAGGGATAAATTTCAAATAGTTACACATATGCCTTTCTTTACATATGATGTTATTATAAGGGGAGGAAATAGAAAAGTCATGGAATATGTACACAACCTTACAGAACTTTAGCTAAGGAACTGAAAAAACAAATATAAAACCAGGTTTAACTTCACAAAACAGGATGCATCAAAAAGCCGATTGGTTGATTCATGAGGATCTTGATTTATAAACCATTATCAAATGCTGGACATTTATTAAGTTTGAGGAAACTTAAATCAGTAAGAGATAGACACTGATATACAGATAGATAGAGAAATAAATACAAGTGATAGACAGAAACATTTGTTAACATTTGGAAACCAACCTGAGCAACAGTTGGATGTATAGGCAATGAAATATCTGGTATATCAATGTTTTGTTGCAGATGTAGCAGGCCCATTTCAAGCTCTGCAATCTTCTTCTCAACTGAGGGAGCCATCTTATCGCCATCCCTATTAGTAAAAAGAATAGTAAAGAAGTGCATTATAGGAAATATAGTAAAATAACAAAAATTAATATATCCACTCATTTCAAACAGATTCTCCTATCATCTAGAAGACTCTTCAGCAATCTCAGCCCTTACCTCTCAATCTTTCCCGACTCTTTGACGTAAGATTTAAAATAAGGTGCAACAGCATTTGCAATATATGAATGAAGTGTCTCGTAGGGGGAACCATCACTGAGATTCAATGTTCTCAGCTGTGAGGAGATGGTCTTGTCAGCCTCAACGACACCACCTCGTTTGATGCATAGAATACTGCAAAGTAAGGTTTGGGGTAAATCATAGGAATGCACACACAATTTTCATAAAGGAGAGACTTCAGTACATAAATGTAGATACAAACAATTCTTTTTCTGGCTGTAGTTTGGCTTTTCAACCTTATCACCTAAAAAGCTCTATTTATTAAAATCAATTCTTTGTACACTTTCAACTCATACCATCAAACTTTTATATAAGCATTAACAACAAAAAATACAGCAATGAATTAAATTACTCATAAACTCTCACTTTCAATCCTCAAATACAGTTACACTACCTTCAAGTAATAGACAGTAACTAAAGACAACTATAAAACCAAACTACAAAACTGTAAAACATGACACAGCCTAAAGAGACGAACCTGTTCATTTTGATGGATGTGAATTGTACCCCAATGCTGATGAGATAAACCACTTCCTTTTCCTCCTCTACTTCTCCACCTTCCTCGGTCTCTTCTGTATTAAAAAAAAAAAAAAAAGAGATAAAATACATTAGAAAGATAAACAATGATTAGCAATAGATAACAGAAAATGCAAATATCATATTCACTAAAGGTATTTGGAGAAAATAGACATACAATAAATAGAAGATTATACCTTTGGTTGCACATCTCTGAATGAGAACAGATTTTGTCTGAGGATCTGTGACAAATTTGCGGATCATCTCAATGTTATGGGGATTCTTGAAAGCCGACCCCAGTTCTGTCGATGGCTCATCATCATCTTCCAGCATGACTGAGGTGATACGCAGAAGGTATCTAGTGACATGCGGCACCTCGGCGACGGCAACAACCGTCTCCAGGCCGCCCCCTCCTGCATCTTGGTGAAGAGGTAAACAGATAATAAGCATAGGAAATATATTGTACAGTAATGTAAGTTCACTAATGACTGATTTTGCTCTTTTATCTTTGTGTTTCTGATATCTATCCATGGATCACGATATAAAAATCACCTATACTCTACCTCATTCCAAAGTTAACATTTACTCACTATCTTAAAGTGTGCAATAAAGAATTATTTTATAACAAAAATCCAAAAACAAAGTAAACCTAAAATATAAAAACTCAAAAGTACAGCTTTTACTGAGGCAAAGCTCCTTTTAAACCAAAAAAAGGGGGGATTCAAAAGAGGCCACCAAACAGAATGTTACAAGCATTTCAAAGCATCAATGCAGACATGAGTGTTGAAAGTGAGAATGTAATGTCTTACTGTATAGCAACCTCTTAAAAGTTCTTGCAAGTTCTAGCAAGGACTTGTAGCATAAATGATGTTTCATATAGTCTGCAATCAGAAGCTATTGCTAAAGCAGCTAGAGTTTATCTTCAGTGCTTGCAAGACCATGACAGATGGTTGTCACTTTCATGTAATGTCACAAAATGCATGACAGTATTACATTTCCCTTGGCAAAATACTTGCTCGAAGCTCATGGCAGATCCCTTTCCTAAGTTTAAATCATTGAGAATGCAAAAGGAAAACTGCAGACTCATTCTAAATAATTCACAAATAACCAACCTAAATATTTTCTTAGCTGCTACATCACACTTATTTTTTCACCACCTTCAAAAGCAAAAAGCTACAAGTCAACAGAGCCCAAACAAAAGTTACTGTCCCAGCATTAGCTTTCCTGACTTGGGTATACATTTAGCACTATTTAATGCCAGATATCACTGTACCATACTTTCAGTCTGAAGACCATTTCTGTATATTTGCCAGGATGAATACAACAATGATATCTGTAAAGGGCTAATTCACTCACATTAGGAAAGATATAAACTTTGAGAAAGTAGTAATACTTAAATTCTTCATTTTTGTTTTCCCTCTTTAATCTACCCATTCAACATATTCTAAACCAAGACTGCCTTAACCAATTATGAATAGTAATAAAGATTAAAATAGTGTTGCCAGTCATTTTACACAGCTTTCACACTTCGATTATCGTAGCCGTTTACGCTTGAAAGTGTCCGTCCAAGAGAGGAGAGAGAGATTTCACTCCGGCTCTGGACTGGGTCTACTCCTTGGCCTGGCACCTTGTCCTCGGACTTCATTCTCCTGTATATTTTGCTCTAATTTCCTAAGTAGTTCCTGGCTATTCAGAAAATGCATTCCCTTGAGAATTTACATCAAATATGAAACATTCTGAGCCCTATTTACATGAACACAATGATAAGGGTATGCGAGCCATTCCAGAGTGGTCCAGGCATGGAGGCCTCAGTCCCTTCA